GCTGGATCGATATCAGCGAACGTCGGCAATTGATAGAAGAACTGCAAGCGGCCAAAGAGCAGGCCGACGACGCCAATCGGGCCAAAAGTACGTTCCTGGCGACTATGAGCCATGAAATACGCACCCCAATGAATGCAATCATAGACGTAGATTGTAGAAAAGCTACAATCCACTATCTATGAGGGTTTGGGACATTATGACAGAGCAAAAACCACTGCCTAGGGCGTTCTCTGACGTGTTTAGAGACGATGAGAGGATCAACGTTTATAGCTACATAAGATTTTCATCCAAAGCCCAAGCATTGGGCTTTGGCGAGGTTCGACAACTCGAACAAATCAGTCGATTTTTCGAGCAATATCCGATCGCTCGGCTTGTTGAGAAATTCGAGGATTTGGGAGTTTCGGCATTTAAAGGAAAAAATCTAAAATCGGGACAATTAGCTAAATTCGTTGAACGGATTAAGTCAAAAGAAATTTTGCCGAACTCTCTGCTTTTAGTTGAAAGTTTTGACAGAATTTCGAGAATGGGGGGTTATGACGCTCTTGAATTAATTATCTCAATCATTCAATCAGATTGTGCAATTTATACGCTGTTTGATAATCGACTTTATTCGAAACGAAAAAAAGATAGTAGCGTTGATATTAGTCTTATTCAAAATATTCTTGAACGTGCAAATGATGAAAGTAAAGCAAAATCAGAACGAATTTCTGACGCAAAAAAACGTAATAGAGACAAAGGAGAAAATGGCGGAATTATCACTAAACAATGTCCATTTTGGATCTCGTTTGTAGATGATAAATTCGTTCTTAATGAACATTCAAATGCTGTAAAGCAAATGACAGAATTATGTTATGAAATGGGATTTCAGTCAATTGCACAGCAGTTGAATAAAGAAAATCACGCAAGAAAATATACAAGCAGTACAGTCAGTAAGGTTTTGCATAAACACGCTATTTACGGCTCTTTTCTTGCTCTGAAACTTGACGAAAATGGAGTTAGAAACGTCTTTAACAAAGAGATAAAAAACTATTATCCTTCTGTAATTAGCGAAGCAGAATTTCATAGAATTAGTTCGAAACTTCAAGAGAGATTAGACCCTAAATTTTCGGGAAGAAAAGCGGAAGAGTTTCGAAATATTTTTCGAGGTATTGCGTACTGTAAATGTGGCTCAACACTTCGCTTTCACAAGCAGAAAAATCATTATATTGATTTAGTTTGTCACGCATCTACTGTTGATAATTGTGAGTTTGCAAAGGAGAAAAAAGGAACAAGATACAGATATGCATTGATTGAAATGCTTTTTATGATGTATCACAAGCAAATTCCGTTCGAGCAAATTATCGTAAAATCTGACGATATTAAATCGCTGGAAAAAGAGCAGAAAGAAAATGACGGGTCAATTATTGCGAAAGAAAAAGCGCTTGCTAATAACTTTTCAATTCTTGAAAAGTCGTCTGAAAATGCACAAAAATACATTTTGCAAAGAATTGACGAAGTGAGTTTTGAATTAGATGAGTTGAAAAAAATTCAACACGAACTATCACTGAAAATCAATAATCTTCACATTGCGAATAAAACATCAGTCTCTTCATTTGATGTTAACAGATTATTAATTACAGAAAAAGGTCGTATAAAACTGAACAATTTTCTGAACTCTCAAAAAATCAGATTGGTGATAACACCCGAGAAAAAGAAATTTTTCTCTGTCGATATTTTTCACGCTGATAAATTGATAGATACAATTGATGTTGAAAATAACGAAATTTCTGCACGACAAAAATCGCATTTGCAGTGAAATCGATTAGCCCTTTTAGTTG